ACACCTCGGCCGGGTGTACAGACACCACAGCCCTGTGTGAATACACCTCCGCCGGGTGTACCGACGCCACAAACACAACCGGGTGCGCACACACCCCCGCCGGGTGTACAGACACCGCAGCAGCCGGGTGCGCAGACACCTCCGCTGGGTGTACAGACACCGCAGCCGGTGTGGAGATCTTTCTTGCGGTCAGTCCTTCTGGTGAAGCGACTGCTACCGCGCAGGGAGGCCCCAAAGGCCCCTGAGAGAGAGCCAGCCGAAGCAGACAGCACAAGGGGGGGAGAGAGGCAGCCAACAAACCCACCACCAGCTCAACCAAACGGATGCGAAAAGAGCGCGAATGCTGTGCAAGGGAAAAGGTCTTATGAGTCGCTCGGCACTGCCTCCTCCGTGAGCAGCAGTAGCAGCAGCAGCAGCAGTTGCAGCAGCAGCAGCAGCAGCAGCCGCAACAGCGACAGCAGCAGGGGTCACGGACAGCAGCAAATAGCATCAGCACAGAACTACAGCCAGGCACACAGCTGAAACGACAGAGTGCATTTGCCTTACTACTGAAATATATTGTTGTATATTATAATACAGAGCAGTTAGCGATAGCTAGCTACAGCTCTCAGCGACAGATGTCACCAGTGGTCATAGTTAGTTCAGGCACTCCAGTTACAACGTAGTCGTTTGTGGGGTCGAAAGCTACTGCAGCAGCTGCAGCAGCAGCAGCAGCAGCAGCAGCAGCAGCAACTGCAGCAGCAGAGGATGTGTCTTCTGTAGGGACTGTGCTAAGAGACGTGTTAATGAAGAGCAGGAGGTAGCGCGTGTCTGAGTGCTGGGGATTCAACTTGCGTGGTTGCTGCTGCTGCTGATGGTGTTGCTGCTGCTGCTGCTGCTGCTGGTGAGCGCGGAGCGAAGAGCTGTTGCGGGGTTTGTTGCCTGCAGCAGTCGTTCAGCCCGTCGCCTGCTTTCGGGGGGATAGGCTTGGACTGGGATGCAGATATTCTTTCACTTTCACAAAACTACGAAGGAATGCTGCAGCGCGTTGGTTGGGTGCTGCTGCGCCCCTTCGTCAGTCTTCTGGGTTGCGGCAACACGCCGGTCATTCAGCTGCTGCAGCACATTGAGGTGAGTTTCGTCTCTACATAGTTTTTTTTTTCTACTACAAGTATATATACAAAGAAACACGAAAACTACACTAGGAGAGGCAGGGACAAGGCGGTGTTTCTGTATACTGAACAGCTGCACAGAGCCGCTTTCTTTACGAGTAATCACAGGTTTATAAGTGACAGACGAAGGAAATGTTGTTGAGTTTGTTTGTTTTTCTTTTGCATGCATGTGGCTGCGTCTGTTGGCCAGGCCGGCTATGACCCCGACATCCCGTATCACACGGCTACGCACGCGGCGCAGGTGGCTCACGCGGCGATGGTGTTGAACACCAAGCTGGATCTAGACCCAGGAAAGTGAGTGAATGCAATGACTGACCTCTTGTGCATTCTTTAGGTCTACGTAGCTGTCTGTACACCTGAGGTTGAGATGAACTTCGCGCATTTTCCACCTGCGCAGCAGCTTTCCTTGGTGATCTTGTGGCAGATAAGGAGTGCCTGTATTGGACTTTATCGTAGATGTATCGTAACTAGCCAAAGCTAGCCACAGCTAGCCAGAGCTAGCCAGAGCTAGCCAGAGCTAGCAGCGAATGATGATAACCAGTAGT